AAAAATTCGCCTCCGCCGCCTGAAATCCGCACTCGGAAACCGACCGAGGAAGCAAGGCTGGAACAAACAGCGAAAAATCAAAAAAAGCAACGGTTAATACGACCTCCAAGGGCCGGGGCGACGAGAGAGAAGCGTCAACATCAACAACCAACGAAAACAACGACGTGTCCGGTGCGACCGCCGGAACAACCGTTAAGGATTAAACATTCGGTTATTTGAGCGAAACGGCCTCACCGATAGGCCAAGGGGTTACCCCCCCCGTTAGCGGCGACTTCTCTTGATAACGCGGCCCCAGGGTATAAAAGACGCACCCCCCCCGAGATCGAGGAACAATCGCTTTGGAATAGTCAATCGTTTTAGAATCGTTTTAGAATCGTTTTTGTTTTGCGAGCGCGAGTGTGAGCGAGTGAGCGACTCAACGGTAGCGAGCGAGTGACAGAGAGAGCGGACGAGAGCAGCAGAGCTGAAGGAGCAGAGAGAGAGAGACCGAGCGAACCACCCGGTGGAGGACCTAAGTCCGCGGTGCAGCCAGGCGAAGTGCAGAGGCAACCCTGGTGAAGTACCGGCGCTACGCCGNTCTATTTCTCTTTAATAATTGTTCTAACATATTGCGGTAAAACGTTCCGAGGACGCCGAACGGTGTCTTTTCGCGTGGGACTTGGAAAGTCTCGACGATTCGGCCCTCGATTAATTGTTTCGCGAGAGGGCGAATTATTTTAGGCATACCGACGGTTGTAATCGGGCGGCCCGAATTACGAACAACTCGCTCAATCCCGCGTTAAGTCGGAGAAATTGCTATCGCTCTACCGATCTCCGGATTCTCGTATGCTCAGAGTCGCTCAACGCTATCGGCTTTAAAACATTTCTCGTACGCTATCGATTTAAAGATTTCGTTCTCGCGAGCTATCGGCACGCGTCGAACTTATCGGCAAGTGCGACAGCGCGGTATCGTCGATTAATTACGCGGTCGAAGGGAAGTCGCAGGGTGCTGTCGTCCCGGGCTATCGTTTCGTCGCGCTAATTGTGCATCGACAAAAGAAAAGCATTTCTAACCGACCCGAGAAGCTATCGCAGAATCGCAAGTACGAGAAACGCGTCAAAACAAGCTAGAGGCTGTTGACGTGAAACAGCTGATCGAGCGCGCGGTCGTTGACCCGGCCTTTTGTTCGGCAAACCTCGCGTTGAGATTGTTTCGCGTTGCGAGACTAACTCGCATATAGAAAAAGCGGCGCGAGGAATTCACGTGCTCCTCGCGTTACGCGGAAAACCAAGCGGCCGAATACTCTTGGTTATTCCCGCCCTGTGATTCCCGCGGGGAATCTTCGGCGCGTTATCGCGGAAATATTCCGCGCACTGTATCGGCAATCATTATCTTTGTTGTTTGTCTATTTTCTTTANAAGCTCAAGAATATATTGTTCTATTTGATTTAATCTCTCGCGTTCATTTTATTCTTCCGCGACCTTACTCCATTTTTCTACCACCCCGCCCCTCTCCGTTCGGTCCAGAGCTAGTCGGCCCGAATTCATCCCACGAGCCGTCTTAAAAATTGACACGCGGGACGCGTGTCTGGCGCCCACACTAGAACTAATTAACACTGACGAGCTTGTGAATTCGGAGGGATTCCGAGTGTCGAACTCCAGAGGCGGAGCTCCGACGGAGATAGAGCACATCTCCTCCTTTTTCTTGGTGGCGTAGTTGAAAAATACGTCACAATATATATATATAATACTGGTGACACTGGCAAGGACCACGTGACGACCTATTAGTTATTGGCCCAAACTCAGAGTGCGCTGTTCAATGTCGTCTACGGTCAGATCTCCCGACTAGCAGTCCATATTTATATAGTCAAAGTTTATACCGATGAAACAACAGCACAAGAAGAAAAAAGCTGGCAAAAAACGTGTTTTTATTGCTATGGAAGGAAGGCGTTTCTATTACATATGAAAATTATAGAATTTTTGTATAACGTAAAAGAAATATAAGACTTAATAAATTACTAAAAAATATATATTTGAGAGTTTTTCCAAGAATACTTTATTCATCGCAGCGAAACACGCGAATAGGGAAAAGAAGAAGCTTTTTGCTACCAAATGGCGGATTTCCTCAGAAAAAGACAATATGGCGGTTACAGCCGTTATTCACTTGTATCTCGAGAACAAAGGCAAAATGGTAATTATAGTTTACCTTCAATATCCCACTTTTGAGCTGTAAGATTTATAAGGGATTTATTCNTATGATAATCCAGTAACGGAGAAAGTTCCGAAATCTCAAGTCGCAAAGTATTGGCGTGAATCATTGGGCCAAACCTCTTGTAGACCATATATGTAATACTCCTATATTGCTAGTCGCGTATCTTCGCAATGAGAGGCACGAGGCCCGAGAAAGGGAGACGCACGAAGTCCAAATATGGGCATAGATGGTCGATTCCATAATCCTCGTCGCCAAAAACTGTTATGTTTATTCACTCACGAAATAAATTAAACTAACTTTGTTCTTTTACAAAACTTGAGTCGGTTTATTAAACGTGTGAATGGTTACAAGAATAAACTTGGAATGAATGAAGATACATAATTGAACAAGAGAATAGTTGTTGAGAATAATTGAATGATTATGTATCGGTTGCTAGGATGACATTCGATTGTAGTAACGATATCGATGTATCGATGTATCGATTACTACACTTATCATGTTGGATTATTTTTGGAGCAATGAATTCACCGGGCGATGCATTGTAGGTACGTATTCGCGAGTTTTTCAGTAAGCTTAAGCAATAGTTAAATTTCTGTTGCTATTTTGTTACGTATTGCGGTATTTGTTAGCATGTCGTAAATTCTATCGAAAGATCACTCAAATTTCGTAGAGATTATGTAGCGCATTACAAACATTCGCGTGATTGTTAATAGTACGTAGTAGTTTTATTTAGCAACCCCGTTTACCGAATACCGTTTTTTTCGCAATATTTTAAATCAATCAGGGGGGATATTCGGGGTCTATCATATATGAGATGCAAAACTAACATCCTATATAAATTTAAGAATTGAAATTTAAATTCAAAAAACACGTGAAAAACGTGAATTTACTTATATATGTGTACACACATATAAGACATATTTTCCGCACAACATCCTGCGAACGGCTCTTTAAGATTAATTATTTATTCATTTATTAAGTTTACTAAACTTTATGAGCCTGAAGAGATCCTCAATTTAATATTGAATATGACAAAGAATTCAAGCCTAGAAGACAATTTGACTTTGGCTCTGGTCTTGGTACGGTCATGTGGTAAATGTCAAAATATCGTGTAAACTTCAAAAATACTAATCTAATATATAATTGGTATGCAAACTTGGTTAGCATGTCTAAGAAATAAAATAATAAACATTTTGATAAGACTGCTTCCGAAATTTGGTCAAACTCGCTACAGGAATATCTTTGTGTCAAAGTATCAGAATCAATTATTGAAATGTCGGAAAGATTAGCAAAAGTTGTGTTACGTCACGGACTTCACGGTCCCTTTTTTTGCAACGTGGGAACGGTATGCCGGTCCTAAAAATCGTAACTAACTGTAATCTTAGACGTAAACTTCCTGGATGGAGAACGAGGAGTCGGCCAGTGGCAGTAAACGAATTGTAATCAGTTTAGACGCTGCATATTGCCACGATGAGCCGACGGATTTGATTTCTAATTCGCAGTAAGACAAAGAACGATAAAAGTTTTCGCACAGCAGCCGAGGCGGATAACTCGAATCGGGCGGATAGAAATCAAAGATCCTCTTATCTCCGAAAGAGAAGTCGAAATCAAAACCAAGTTAGTGGTCAGTCGCGCAAATTAAACATGATAGCGCGAAACCGATAGCGAGTTATACACAAAGGATAGTTAGGCCGATTTGGCCGACGTCGGTGATTTGCGCTCTCGCTTGTGCGGATCTGTGAGTCAGATCCGATTTTTAATGTAGATAATAAGAAGGGATTCAGAATCCAAATCTGATTGGCAAAACCCAAGTATCTGGGGGCCGAAGAACCAAATATAAAAGCCAAAACTCAGAGCCGAAGAGAGAGCAATCTTCCCTTTTACTTAGTTAAAGTCTGCACGTCGCAAGTTTTTATTAACCGTGCAATAGTGACAAGTTGTGCCAGTGTTGTGCCAAAGAACAACCAGGTCAAGAGCCGAATTAGCCTATCCATTCCGCAGTCCTAAATGAGTCGACATATTGACTCTCCATCAAAGAATTACAGCAAGTAGTAAGTCTAAACAATAGTAACGATAATTAGTGCAGAACAAGAAAAACAAGAAAACCGGTGGTTCCATATTGAACTTTAGTTATTAAACCTTATTAACTTTACTAAACTTTTATTAAACTATAATCCCCTGTTTCAAGTGAGGTGACTATCATCCGGAATGTTTAACCGCGTTGAATTGGCATTTCTTACTTCTGATTAGCGACTCACGACTTTGCTTGTCGTTCCGAGCCGCTGCTGACTTCTGATTCTGTCAGACTAGCGACTCACGACTTTGCTTGTCGTTCCGAGCAGCTGTGGATTTCCGATCCTGTCAGATTAGCGACTCACGACCTTGCTAGTCGTTCCGAGCCGCTGCTGATTTTCTTTTCCTATCTGCCCTCCATAGTGCTGAACAACGTAGGTTGAACTGCGTTCCGGAGGTTAGTCGTACCGAACAAAATACCTTTTCAAAAAAAGGTAAAAAAAGGCGCCAAGTACATGCGCAACTCGTATGTCTAGGAAAAGTATTACTATCAAAATCTTCAAGATCTATTCTACAAAAGAAATGATATCAATAAGTTACGCCAAGTAAAATCTTTTATACATGGTTACAAAAATATATAAAATATATAAAACTTTGTAAGTTGTTTATATGTTGTAAAATAGAAAATATTCTAACTCAATAAAAAATTTCAAATATTGTATGACCGCTGCACTTTTTATATAAAGCACTCATTGATGTAAGAAATGACTTCGCCTTGCGTGGAAAATCTTAAACTATGTATGTCGGATACATATAAGTTTCGATTTGTGTAAAATGTCAAAAACTCATGTGGAATGTTTCAAAATAAAAAATATTTAATGTAAAAAAACTTGGCGCGGCTGCACCGAAAACTAAAGACAAAGTGCAGAATAAAGAGCTCGGTAAGCTCAGGTTGGAAACAAGAAAGAAATTCAGCAAGGCGAAAAGAACAGAACTTGCAGTACACTGGAAGGCCTTTAGAAGCTCCCAACGAGAATACAGCAAGAATTACAGATTAAGAAATCAAAGTGCAAAAGCTGGAGACGTTTCTGTAAAAGCATTGAGAGCGTCCCGGAGGCATCCAGACTTCACAGAATCATCAGTTTGGATCACCGTCCCCAATTAGGCTGTCTCAAGCTCCCAACGGGAAATGTCACTGAGGAGGCAACGGACACATTGAAACATTTAATGGAAGTCCACTTCCCAGGTATTAATCATAACATACAATCCTGCCGGCCGAAGCCTAGAGAATATAAACCCAGGGACTGGCGTCTGGCAGCTGAGGTTGTTCTTCCAAAGGGAATTGAATGGGTTGTTAAGACCTTCTCTCCCTATAAATCACCTAGACCGGATAGAATCTACCCGGTTCTTCTTCAAGACGGGCTGGGGGTTCTCACAGGTCCACTCACAAAAATCTTCAGGGCTAGCATAGCCCTAAGACACGTCCCCCAGGCTTGGGGTGGTACAAGAGTAGTCTTTATACCCAAGCTTGGTAGAAATGGCCATATAACAGCCAAAGACTTCAGACCGATCAGTCTCACTTCTTTTGTACTGAAGACACTGGAGAGACTGGTCGATAGATATCTGAAAATCGGCCCTTTGCTAGTACATCCGCTGTCTCCGGCTCGGTATGCCTACAGGGAGGGCAGATCAATAAATACTGCCTTGCACCATCTCGTGGGCGGAGTCGAAGTGCAGTTGGAAGCAAAGGGATATGCCCTGGGCGTCTTTCTGGACATTGAGGGAGCTTTCGATAGCACCTCATATGATGTCATCAGAGAAGCAATGACCGGGCATCACATTCCCGCTGCTCTAGCAGACTGGACACAAAGCATGCTAACAGGAAGAACCCTGATTGCCAATCATGGGGACTCAAGTGTGCATGGTTTCTCCGCTAAAAGATGCCCGCAGGGAGAAGTTTTATCTCCCCTGCTCTGATGTCTGGTCGCGGATGAACTTCTACGAGAATTACAGAAGAAAGGTTTCCTCGCTTTTGGCTACGCTGATGACGTGGTCATTATAGTGCGAGATAGTTTTCTTTCAACACTTAAGGAGATTATAAAGAAAGCCCTTAAGATTATGCAAGACTGGTGTCAATCAAAAGGACTCAGGGCTAATCCATCAAAAACCAAGGCCATGATTTTCACCAGGAAATATAAACCGGAAGCCATTGAGCCGCTTAGACTCGGGCGCGAAGAAATAGAATACGTCCAGTCTGTTAAATATTTGGGAGTTTACCTAGACCCCAAATTGAATTGGAAAACATCTCGGAATAAAGAGAACTAAATTCTATGCCTCCTATTGGACGTGTAGAAGAGCAATGGGCAAATCCTGGGGTATCAAATTAAATACTGCCCTATGGATATACAAGACGGTACTAGTACCGAGCTTAACATATGCTGCTGTTGTTTGGTGGCCTAGAGTGGAAAAAATGGAGTCAAAGAACCTGCTAAAAAGCCTACAGGGTAATTACCTGAAAGCTGCGGCAGGGACTATGAGAACGACACCAACAGAAGCGTTGGAAATAGCGCTCTGCATCCCACCTCTAAATTTGACAATCATAAGCACGGCCAGACTCATAGCATATAGACTGAGGTGTCAGGAAGAATGGAGAAATTTCGGGCGGGGTTTTCTTCACAAACCTCCCTTTACCTTAAAACAGGATAGAATATTCAGAATATGCCAAGTGGACAAAACGTTTTCTATAAACTTGACCACCAGGGCAGACTGGAAAAACGGAAATCTTCAGATCCAGCCGGGCATTCAGGCCTGGTTCACTGATGGATCTGGAGCAAACGGCCGCTTTGGAGCGGCCATATACTGTCCAGGATCAAATCACAGGGAGTCGTTCTTCCTGGGTAGGTTGGCCACGGTCTTTCAAGCGGAAGTTCTGTCCATTCTGGAATGTGCAAGACTCCTACTATCAAAAGAAACAAAAAAGAGGAGGATCAACATCTATACAGAAAGTAAAGCAGCCATAGGAGCTCTTGCTAAGACCACCACTGAATCCTCAGTGGTCTGGGACTGTATGCAAGCTCTAAATAGTTTGGGTGAGCGAAACAGCATCACACTAGTCTGGGTACCTGGCCACCAAGGTATTCAAGGGAACAAAATGGCTGACAGTCTGGCAAAACTGAGTACCTTAAAGGAACCAGCCTGTCAGAGAGTTGGAGTCTCTTTTGCAATAGGGAAAAATTACATCAAGGACTGACTAAAACGGGAGCACAGGACCGCTTGGGTGAAACTGAAGAGCTGCCGCCAGGCCAAGGTCCTGATGACACAGCTATTGCCAGGTAGGACAAAGGAACTACTGACTATGGGTAAGTACAAACAAAGATTGTGTATCGGTCTTCTCACAGAGCATTGGGCCTTCAGGGCACATTTATTCAACTTAGGCCTAGTCGAGGAGAGTAGGTGTAGATTTTGCGATGAGGAAAGGGAGAACAGCGTGCACATACTGTGTCGCTGCCCGTCTCTAGTACTCAAGAGGTTCAGATCTCTGGGCTCCATGTTCGTGGAGCCCGAAGACCTGAAAATACACAATATTGGCCACCTGTGTAGCCCGGCAGCAAATGCCGGGCTAAAACAGCCTGGACGATAAACTACCAGCGGGAGTCGCAGAGGATCTTATAGATCTAGGTGACAAAAGGGACTCACAAGCCCCCCGCTTTTAGCTTAGTTATCTATCTATCTATCTAACCTGTTCAAGCTTGTTATTAAACCTTACGCAAAGATCGATAAGTTATCACCCTTAAGTCGCTACCACGCAACACAGTTAGTTGCAAAATTAATAACTTTTAAACTAAAAAAAATAAAAGAAAACAGTTTGCGTCATAATCCTTAGCACAACAAACTGCAAAATACCAACCTAATTCGAACTTTCTAACTTTAGTTATTAACAATTAATTGTTTAAATAATAGAAATTCTTAAACTTTTACCGTGTGGTATTTCGCAACTAACCAATAGGAATTGAGATGTAAAAACCATTTTGCTCTAACTTTTACTGTTCTCGATTTATTACTGTTCTCGAATATTCAATTTGTTAATTTTCACTCTTTGTCATAAATCGCAGAGTAGCCGATTGAAGGTACCTGCAAAATTAGTTTCAAGCTATCTCTTCTGGTTTTCGAGATATCCGCGATTTGCGAAAAAGACTATCGTTAAACGTAGAATATTAAAATTTTATATTTAATATTTTTTATTTTTTCTGTAAAATTTAATAATCGATAATATTTAATTTTTTTTATATTTGTATTATATATATATACAGAGTGTCCCAGAATTGCCGTACAATCTCTCGTAGGCAGGTAGAAGGAATAAAACTGAGTCGAAAAGTCCTATACCATTTTGCTAGATTCGCAATAGTTACTGAGATTTTAATTAACAAAGATCCGCGAATAATCATGCATCGGGCTGTCTTACGCGCGTAAGACTGCCCGCCGCGCTTCGCGCGCTTAGGGTACGATCCCATGCACTGTTATTTTTCGCGTAACGCGTAATGCGTAACCAATCAGAGAAATTACGTGTACTAACATAAAGCACGTAATCTCTCTGATTGGTTACGCGTTATGCGTTACGCGAAAAATAACAGTGCATGGGATCGTACCCTTACAGTTGTTACCCGTAGCAACGGTGCGGGAGGAGCTAACATAACAGCATATATTATAGCATATTCATAATGGCAGATGAAAAATAATGATGTTTGATCGCGAAAACGTGTATGTTTCATTTTGATTAGCAAATTACGAACGATTACTCGCATGTTTTGCTAATCAAACTAAATAATTCTAATATCGAGATGTGTCGATAATAAGTCTGTTTATTTATTCATTTGATTAATCTTTTTGTTACCGAGAACAAGATATCTTTCCATCACAATGTCGCTTGAGATGGCGTTAACCCCTTAACCTACGATTTAGATTCGAAGATGTTGGGCCGAAATCGTATACAAGCTCGCGCAGCGTTCGTTTCGTTTTTTTTTTTTTTTTTTGATATGCAATTACGTTCGTGATTCAATGTGAACCAATGAAGGCGCGGGGAGCGATGATCGGACTCTATAGGCGTGCACGATTATCAGATGAAAAAAAAAATGGCTTCTCTCATGTAATGTCTTAGTAACGAGAGGCGGAGTGAACAAACAAGCGCGGACCGACTCAGTTTCTTGCGATCGGGCGCTATTCGGCGGTACGCAGCGAGCAGCGGCGAGCAAGGAATAGAGCTGATAATTGTGCACGCCTATAGAGTCCGATCATCGCTCCCCGCGCCTTCATTGGTTCACATTTATTAATTCATATCTCAATAAATATTGCGAATTTTGCAAAATGGTATATAACTTTTCTGTTCAGAAT